TCCCTCTGTCATGCGCTCGACCACCTGAGCATGGGGGCAAGGGGGCAAAATCTTGTTCTATTCAAGTCTCCTACACTGTAACCAACAGGGAGCTGAATTCCTCGGCCTCATAAGGACAAGGAGCTGAGCGGACCAGGTGCAGCTTTGACCCCGTGATTCCATGGAGACTGCGACGTAACTTGCTCAGCCACCTCCTCCGACGCTTGCCTGCCACAGACAGTAAATCTGATTTGCTGGGCTGGAGCAGAAGTGAGCGGCTTCCTGCGGAGATTTAACGAGCAAGGTTGCAGGGTGCTTTGCGGACCGCACAGCCGATTACTCTGCTTCCATTAGCCTGTGAGGGACTGACACCCACAGAGGATAAAAGGGCAGAAATCCTTTCCTCCTCCTTATCCACCCACTGGCAGCCAGTCCCCCACACCCCGCAGGAGAGCTGCTTTTCAGCCCTCTCCCTCCCGAGATGGGGAGAAATTGCAAACTCACCGGGGCACAAAGGTTCCTGGCAAACTCCAGGGACGTGACAAGCAAGAGGCATTTGAATAGCAAAAGAACAAACCTTGTTATGTCTCCTTTCTGGTTTTGGCCACATCTTCCCTTCCCTGTAATGAGGAAGCCATGGTGGTGTAGGGGGAGAGTATATTTCTCCTCTATAACACAAGCCCTCGTCTCAAGGCAGCATGACCTAGCTGGCTGAGCAGGGGCTAGGAGCCAGGAGTCCTGGGTTCTAATCCCAGCTCAGGAGTGCCGCGCTCTATTCCCGCTTCCAAGAAGGAGTGAGGCCTAACGGCCAAGCCAAAATTTCTGCTTCTACGCAGGTTCCGTTTGTGACCCTGGCAACATGGCTTGGAGCAAAGGGGTTTCCCCGTTCGTCTGAACACCAACACAAAGGAGTGCTAACCCAAACCAAGCTCGGAAAAGTCCTGAGATCCCTGGATGAAAAAACAGGATGCCAAGGCTCAGAATTATCACATGACATGGCCATGCCTGGCTCCGCCCCAGATGCGTCAACCCAGACAGCTGTGCTGTCAATGACAGATGTGAATGTGTCCCCATTTACATGATGAACCTGGGTTCATCAGTTAATTCTAATGGCTCAATGCAGCACCTCAACCCACTGCCTTGTATCGGGGCAGGCAGGAGCTGGCACGCGTGTTCAGGAAAGTCACATCCCTGCACGGTGCCTCAGTTTCCCCAAATTTTAAGTTGGCTGCCCACAAGCACCGGCTCCTGCCTGGCTCCCCTGCGTGTAAACGTGTAACCGCTGCAAATTTCAGCAGTTACACATTGCGTTTAACATCCCTACTATCAATGCCTCACTTTTCACCTGTACCAGCCCATGCCTGCGGGGCACAGACGGCATCACACACACCCCTCACCATCAGGGCCCAACCAGCACTGAGAAGGATTAGCCACGATGGCCAGAGATGCCACACCGTGCTCTGAGGGTCCCTCTGTTTGCTGGGAGCGGACCACTTTGCTGCTTCCCTGTTCTGCTCATTCCCGCTGGGGCACTGGGCAGCGGCCACTGCTGGAAGACAGGATCCTGGGCTACACGGACCTTTGGTCTGACCCAGTCTGCGAGTTTGTATGTTCATTCTCACAAGTAGCCTGCTCACCTGAGCAGAGGTAAGCACCTGACACGCACCTGTCAATATTTTGTTCGTACAGCACCTCATCCCGGTCCGTGTCGAGGCCTTCCACGCACGAGAGCAGTACAAACGAGGGATGTTCAATGTCGGCGAATTGACTAGTAGAGTAACCTCATGACATGTTCTCGGTTAGTCGACTAGTCTACAGCCTCTC